TTTGAGAACAGTTAGTTTTTTCACGTCTTTATTCATTTTCTACTATTACGTGCTATTTTAGTTTAAAAAAAATTAATTTTATTTTCATAAAAGAAAGATTTTTATTTTTTATTTTTATCGTTTTTTCAAAGAATTTATTAAGTTTCATTTTCTTTTTATTTCATTTTCTTTTCACCTTTTGCTCTTCCTTTGCATCAGAGGTTTTTGAGCGATAACTTCTTAAGGAAGCATTTTTCGACCCATGTTTATAGGAAATTTTTTGTTCAGAATTAAATTTCCTATAAGATCTCAAAGTCTGGCTGAAACGTTCGGGGCCATTCTGTATATGAATTAATTCAATATAGAGTATAACTACGATATTAATATAAATGTTATATTACATGACATATCCTTATTTTTGTTACCATGACTGTAAGAAATATGAGTGCAATATGAACTCAGAATGCACTTATTTTTTCATTTGAATCATAACATGTTCGCGTTCTGAGCAGTATACGAGCTCGCATCTGTGTGTATTTTTGTCATTATATTTATAAAAAATGAGTACAATATATGGACACAGAATGCACATATTTTGCTATCTGGGAGCTATGATATAACAACAACAAAAAAACATATAACATGTTATATTACATGTTATACTTATATGAGTGGGAAATCATAACTAATGTGTATGTTGCAAATAACATTTGTTATAGTACGTGTTATATTCCGTTATATTACGATGTAATAGTTATATCTGTGTTTGCTGGGATATACAGGGTGTCCGAAGTCAATCGCACCACCCGTCATGTGCAGGTAGAGCAGGTAAAACTGAGGAGAAAAGTCCTTTACCATTTTGCGATATTTGCAGTAATTATCGAGAAATTAATTAAAAAATATCGGCCAATTCGCGCGAATATTAGCGCACGCAAAGAAAATATGGCCCATTGATATGTGGTTGCTAGGACACAAGAATTCATCGTTATGTACCGATTGTACGTAACAGTTGTCATTTGTAGAGTTGGGAAGAGAGTTCTCCTCCCAAAACTTCGTCGCGCGTCTAGCGACCGCAAAATTTTGGATTGTCTCTTCTCGCTGCGCGCTTATATTCGCGCAAATTGGTCCATCTTTTTTAATTAATTTCTCGATAATTATTGCGAAAATAGCGAAATGCTGAAGGACTTTTCTTCTCAGTTTTGCCTGTTCTTCCTGCACACAACGCGTGGTGCGATTGACTCCAGACACCTTGCATATTACAAACGTACTGAAGACGTAGTACAGTATGTACTGATTGTGAAAGAGAAGCAGATAAATCGGATATAGAAACATTCTTAGTTTGTATTTAGTATATTGCTGTACATACCCAGTAAACACTGTTATATTAATGTTATATAAGATATAAAACGAAATGTTATAATATACATAAATATTACTGGTAAATTACTAGTTAATTGTAATTTCCCACTCATAAATGTAACGTAATATAACGTATGTTATATAGTTGTTACATCGTTATAATTCCATATAGAATTAGTTCATATAGAATCCATCATAAAGTTGGTAATTAAATAAATAAAAATAAATAATTTATATGTATTTAATGTATAAAACTTGCGATTTAATTTATATAGAAATTCAGATTTTTTACTTCAAATAGATAGTAAATGGATATTTCCCAATTACCCGCTCATTTCAAATACTTTATTTAATATCTTGAATCCCTTGTTAGGATTGTATCAGAAATTAAACTCACAAAGAAGAGATATATTTTAGATCTTACATCCCAATCTTAGCACCCATCTTTTGTAAATTTTATATACATTTCATGGTAAAAATTTGGATACGAGTTAGTTAAATCTGGTTTTGCTATATAGCGGCAAACGGAAAAATACATATATAACAATATTATATTGTAATAATATTCTGTTACATTATTATTATAATATTACAAAATAATACATATGGTATATTACAGTTTTATATAGAGAGAGATAACTTACGTCATATTATTTTTGTTACTTCCACGTTATATTACTGCAACTAACAATGTTTACTGAGTATTTTGAATGTTCAGAGGATATATTCAATATACTTTTATGATATTCTTCAAACATTCTTAGAATCTATGCTGTACTAGATGTGAAACAGACTACATTTAGACAGTCGCCTGTTTGTAAATCGTACGCATCACTATCCCACTCGGCATGTAATATTTCTGATACATTGCTGCAATATTCCATTTGAAATATTACACCTTATAACAATATTACAGAAATATTTCACGACCGTTTCTGCAACATTTCTGCAATGTTTCAATGTCCGCAATCATTTCAAATACAACCTTGCTAAAAGATTTCAGCATAGCGCATATACAGAGTGGCCCACCGAAAACGAAACAGACATGTTTTTGGCATTTAACGTGTCGTCAATGAATGCCGTCAAATCACTCCACATATGCTCCAGAATGTGCGACAACATTTTGAGCAGAATCTGTATTATTGTATGCAAGCTGGTGGGGGACATTTCCAACATTTAGTACGCTAACATCTAAGTGCTAATTAAATAAATGCTATCTTTAGAGTGCATTTACTCGAGAAATAATAATCGGAATTTAAAAATTAAAATACCATTATAAAGCTAATTTATCAGACTTTCAAATAGTATGCCTTTAGATACCTCTTGCCATTTAAAATTTTTAGGGTGAAATTAACCTCTCGTTTGGGGTTGAAGTTAGGTAAACGAAAATAGCCAATTAATATGTCCCCCTTGAAAACAAAGTTGACCTGTCCGAGCGTTTTTCGAACAGATAAGGTTAAATGCCAAAAAACGTCTGTTTCGTTTTCGGTTGGTCATTCTGTATACCTATATAAATAGGCGATTATCCGAACGTAATCTGTGATTGGCTAGCTTTAAACTCTTACACATATTTCGAAAACTATTTCTTAAAATAATAAAATGACAAACATTTTTATTATTTAATTTTTCAATCTTATTAGCCTCGAATTTCGAAACACTTTACGTATACAAATACATAGCGAATTCGGTCATTTGCACTGCGTTGCACTGGTGCATATTAGAGACTGCTATACATGTGAAGTTATCTAATAAAAAAGAATAATATAAACATTTTAAGTAATTAAAATCCAATCATGATAAATTGTCATTTTATTTAACGGAACATACATTATTTTTTCATCATCAAAATGTTTATATATTATATCATTGCATTCATATACTTCATAAATAGCAGCCTTTAATGTGCACTGGTGTGATGTAGTGCAAGTGACCGAATTCGCTATGATATGGGCTATTTCTTAAAATAATAAAATGACAAACATTTTTATTATTTAATTTTTCAATCTTATTAGCCTCGAATTTCGAAACACTTTACGTATACAAATACATAGCGAATTCGGTCATTTGCACTGCGTTGCACTGGTGCATATTAAAGACTGCTATACATGTGAAGTTATCTAATAAAAAAGAATAATATAAACATTTTAAGTAATTAAAATCCAATCATGATAAATTGTCATTTTATTTAACGGAACATACATTATTTTTTCATCATCAAAATGTTTATATATTATATCATTGCATTCATATACTTCATAAATAGCAGCCTTTGGTGTGCACTGGTGTGATGTAATGCAAGTGACCGAATCCGCTAACACACACACACACACACACACACACACGCACGCCCGCGCGTATGGGTGACCTATAATAATCAACAAATAGATTTATTTTTGAAAATATGGAAAGTAAAAGAAATAGTACATACAAAGTCAATATACAGGGTGAGTTTTTTAACTTGAAACTGTAAAATATCTCGGAAAGTAAGCTTTGTCGAAAAAAAATGTTTCAAACAAAAGGGTTCGGAGGGGGCCACATGATAAAAATATGGATTTGACCTTGAGTGACCTTTTCAAGGTGAGAAAGTAACCCATTACACACATACACATATATACGCACACGCACATTAACCTATGAAAGAAATATAAAATATATATTGCAATACTTCGATATCTATATAATCTACATTTGTACTATATGCAATCATGTATATTCTATATTAAGTTTACCTTGATATACAAAATTACACACATTTGGAGCATATTTGAGGCATGTGTTATGCCCAGTATGCCCGCATTATAGCTCAGAATTGTATGTCTGACAGTCTGGCATCTATATGTATAAAGATTTGACAAGAAAGTGTCAAATATTAAATTAGTAAATATTAAACATAAAAATAAAAAATAAACAACAGCTCATTATATTAAATTAATAGAAGAATATTATTTGAATTGTGTAACTATCGTAACAAATATTTAAACATGATATATATAG